TTAACCCTAGCACGCCAAGCGGAGATCCTGTTAAAAATTTCAACTCCTTAGTAATGTGAGATAATTTTAATTTTCAAGGTGGGCCGTACTATAGAAAAAAATCTTTTGAGAACACATGTGCGCAGTGCAAACATTCAATTCATTGTGCAAATAAATGTGGCGTGAAAACAAAAAAATTGTGGGTCTTTCGGACCCTCGCTGGCAAAATCGAGGCGAGTAGATGTTTTAATTCTTTTGATTTTGTAATAAATTCTTAAATTTATATCGCAAAGTGTTATAGATACTTTTGACCAGCTGTCATGAAGACTACTGCGTGTGCGATTCGTAAGTGGTCACTTGGAATATTTTTCGGCATACTCGATCACTATGCGGTATATTGTACCAGTTCAATCCCGACAATGTGCAATACAAGTTACGTTCACATTACATAAAGAAACTTTGCAAGTCTCTTTTGAGTCCATTCCTTATGAAAAGATTAGCGACGCAAACACTTAGAACATTAGGCCTGTTCTTTTCAGCTGAATTAACTGCACTAGTCCAGAGTTCATCTTTCTTCTTTTAATGTAGAAAGAGAAAGATAAACCAGTGTCAGTTCAGTTTAAAAGGACAGGCCTATTGCTGCGAGTTTTGATCAATCATTTAGAATACTACGATGTCATAAGGCCAACTGAAGATCCTTTCGCATAAAATAGATAAGCGTGTTCGTTGCAGCTTCTGTTCTTACGAAATTATATATATATATATATATATATAAAATAGGAAGACATAATTTTTGTGTCCGTCGTCCGTCAAACTTCGCGATGCAAAGAACGTCGGTTACTCATGTATATTATACAATCTACGCTCCAAACAATTTAGAAATTAATATTTTTGTATGAAATTTTCTTAAATAAATTTTCATTGAAAATATCTTTATCATTTCTGTGTATTTTTATTATAAACTTATTAGAAAATAAAACAATTATTTTTTAAATACTTCAGAAATCGAAATTGAAAAAGAAATAACTTTAAAAATTGGATATGTTGACGCCTTGCAGTTTTCTTGAAGTTATTGGAATATAATTATTTTCTCTTTGCAACATTATTAAAGCTTTAAAATATAGGAACAAAAGGCAAAATAAGAAAATATTAGTTAGAACGTAAGATACAGATATTTTTATAAAACGTATAAATTTCGATCTGCTTTGACCGTGTTGGTGTTTTTCGTTATTAATTTCGATAAATAAGCTATTGTAATATATTTTGCGCTTTATTTTGAAAATTTGTTAAAGTCGCCGCAATTCATTTTGTTCGATTGAGAGAGCAAATAAAAATATTGTTACTAAATAAGACAAGAGTTTGTTCTATTAATGTGTATATAAATATTTGCTAATATCAAATTTTAATTGTTACACGCCAGTGATTTAATTGTTTCTTTTAATAACAATTCGAATGATTTATTAATAAGTCCATTTATGAAAAATTATTAAATTATTTTCAGATAATTCTTTATTTGTTTTATTTGTTTTTATCCAAAAAATAAATGAAATTTTAATCTTCATAAATTTAGACCTGCAATTTCAACAAATTTTTAATAAATAAAACAAATAATTTCTTAGAAAATGTGATTAATCATTTTCTTTTTTCTTCCTTAATAAAATTACGTAATTTTATTATTCTCAGGATATAAGAATTTAAAAAAGAATAATAACAATTTTCATAAATACTTTTCCAATCAAAATAAAGATAGTTTATTCTTTAAATGAATGTTAAATTTACAAGGTGTGAAAAACTGGAAAATCTGAAATTCTTTGGAAGAAATTTATTGAATTTTACTTTTAAATTTAAATTTTGTCCCTTTAGAAAATAAACGCGGTCTCATATCGAAGGCCCTGTATTAAATGATACGTAGAGGGACGCGTGCGCGCGTGTTAGTATGCCGGCAAGTTCAATCATTGTAGAGCAGATTCCTATCCACTGTATCTTCTTTGATTTTTATCATAATAATTTGCCAAATATAATGTAACAACAGAAATGCAGCAAGAATGGAATATACCTTGCCATCATAATGTGATAGCAGAAATATGGCAAAAATAGAACATAGTTTGTCATATCTGACACTAACGGCAAAAACACAGCAGAAATCATATATAATGCAGTGCTCTCACAAAGTGATATCAAAAATATGGCAAAAATAGAACATAGCCTGTCTGTCATATTATAATAGACATTAGCGGCAGAAACACAACAGAAATCATGCACAATGTACTGTCACGACGTAGCATTATTTTATGATAACAAATCGCGTACTATGTTTCTGCCATATTTTTGCTATTATTATTTGATACAACAGCGCATGCTCGATTTCTGTCGCATTTCTACTGACACTAGTTTTACAATAAAGAACGCTTTAGTGTACACTTCTTACACTAGTTCAGAAAGTTCAGGAATAAAAAACAAACCTACGATTTACTTGCAAGTAAGCTTGATCTCTAACAACAATCTGCTAACACGTCTTGATGTTAATATCTAGATATGTGCGAACAGTTCGAATTCGAATCGAATCGAATCGAATCGAATCACAGTGGATTCGATTCGAGTTCATTTTTCGAATCTGTAAGAATCGAGAATTTCGAATCAACAATCGCCTATTTTATTTGCTTCATTTATATCTCCCGCGCGACCAATTATTCTTATCTAATAAATAAGTATTTTTGATGTATGCATATAGAGATTAATATAGAAAATATTCGAAAGCATTCTAACTATTCGTGTATACATATATTATTAATTACATGTTTTCAAAATGTCACGTAAGATCATGATCCTTTGTAATGAAATGTAAATCGAAAACAAGTCCTCAGTTTGTTTAAATCATTGCCAGGGTTGGGTAAGTTAATATTTTTTTTAACTAAGTTAAGTTAAAGTTAACAGTCTAAAAATTTAACTTTGTTAAGATACAAGTTAGTCCATAATAAAATTAATTGAGTTAAAAGTTAAGTTAATAAAAAAAAGTAATTGAAAAGTTAAAGTTAAATTTTTTTAATTTTATAATTTTAGGATTTCTAAATAATGTATATATTTGTTATACTTATTTCTGTCGAGCCA